CGATAATAAAGTCTTTAAAACCGTTATTGCATCTTACTTTAAATAAAAAAAAAAAAAAAAAATAAAGTTTAAAGTGATTTTACAAAAAAACATCAGAAAAATATTTAAATTATTAAATATAAAATTTAATTTTTTAATTTTTTTTTTTATGAATGTTATAACTTACACACTTTCAACAATTTTAACCTATTACAAAAATATAAAAATGATAAAGGAAAATAAATTTTAAGTTAATTGGTATTTTCTTAGTTATTTTAGTAAATATTTTGTTTAATTATACCAAAAAAAAAAAAAAAAAAAAAAAAAAAAAAAAATTTTAATATTGTAATATTAAAGTAGGAAATAAACAAATATTACACAGATAGACGGAATAAAAAGTTACATATTTGATGATTAATTATCAATTATATAAACCTATATATTTTATATACATATTTTTAAAGTTTCATTCTCATTTTAAATTATTCAATGTTTATGTCTCCTTATGCTATTTTATATAATGAATATAAATGGAACACATGAGTTATAAAAACGTTCTATATTTTTAATTTTTCTTAATATGAAATATATATGATGAAAGAACTATAGAAAGATTTTAATTTTCATTAAATTATTAATAAAATGAACATATTAATATCTTCTAATGAATATTCACATATTCTTTTGATTTAATTATATATTTAAATTTTCTTAAAATGATTTAAAATACATATTTAAAACTACATTTTAATAAAAAAAAGATAGAAAAATACTGTGTGACATAATTTATAAAAAATGAATAAATTTTTTCATTTTTGTTTATTTTAATTTATTATTAAATAAAAAAAATATATTTTATATATTTTGAAAACAATAATATCTGATTTAGTAAAATAGAATCCAAAAAAAATGTAAAAAAAAAAAAAAGAAATGAGAAAAAAAAAAAGAAAAATTAAAGGAATAATTTCTTCTTAGAAAAAGAAATTCAAGTTAGGTTCTGTAGTGTAGTGGTTAGCACTGCAGACTCTGACTCTGCAAACCTGGGTTCAAATCCCAGCAGAACCTTTTAATAATTATTAATATATTTAAACATTTTTATAACGTTTAAAAATAAAAGTGTTTTCATTTATATTTTAATATATGAAAATAAATATTCTTTTTCTATTTTAAAAATTAATTTTTAAATTCTTAGTAATTTAGAAATTTAAAATTTATATAAGTTATAAACATTATTATCTTTATGATTAAATTTTAAAAATTATAAAATAAATATTGCATTTAAACCATAAAAAGATACTAAAAATATTTAAAGAGAATAATTTAAACATATATATATATATATATATATAAATTTATATATATTTTTGAATATTTTTATTGAGTGGATTTAATGAGAATTAAAAAAAAAAAATAAAGCATACCAAATAATATAAAATTAGTGAATACTTAAGTAATGAATTTTTATTAATTTCTTTAATAAATCTTTCTATTAAAGATATTAGAATTAACCATTTAAATAAAGAAAAATTAATTAAAAATTTTGTACCTATTAACATGAATATTTATAATTGTATGCATGTAAAAAATAACAAATAAAACAAAATAAATGTAAAGATACTAAAAGAAAGTAATATTTAGTTCATAACTTCAAATAATTGTTAGAAGATGAAAAATTTATCAATTTGTAAAATGTGCATCTTTAACAAATTTTAAAGTTCTTGTCTAAACTTGTGCTTTTGTCTATTTTATTTTATTTCATTTTATAATATTTCATTTATCTTTAAATTTTAAATTATTATTCTAATAATATTATATATAAATGTATAATAAAATCATAAATCAATTAAATTTATGAAAAAAATTATAACATTAATTTTAATACTTTATAACATATTTTTATATTTCTATTTTATTTCTTTTTTTTTTTTTTTAGTTAATTTTTTTTTTTTCTTTTCTTTTCTTTTTTTATTATAATTTCCTCTATAATATATTTTTATAAAGTATAATTTTTTTTTAAAAATAAAAATATTACTAACACAACAAATTACTTTTCATTATTTTAAAGCTAAAAAAAAAAAAAAAAAATATAAAAATAATAATTAAAGTCAATAAAATATTTGATTAATAAGTAATATAAATATATAATATTTTGTATAAAAATAGAAAAAACATAATTTGAAATATCCCTTTTTTGTAATATATAAATATATATTTTTTCCTTTTTTTTTTTTTTTTCTTTTTTAGATGAAGCAAAAGATAAATATTTACATAAATAATTTTAATTTAACCAATGAATTTTCATTTAAATATATTTGAAGAAATTGAAGCAATACTAGAAAAATGTAATAATGAAACTTACTTAAAAATTGTTAAAATAATAGATTACGTTGTAAAAAATTACACAGATACAAATAATGAAATACAGAAAAAAAATGTTTTAAAAAAAAAAAAAAATAAAAATAATATAAATGAAAGTAATAGTATTAAAAATTATTTTAAAGTTCTAAAAAAAGAATCTACTAAAATTACTGATGATAATGTAGATCAAAAAAATGATTATAATAGTATAATTAAAAAAAATTCTGTTTCTATAATTAATGTTTTTTTTTTCTATGGAAACTTTAATGTAGTGATAATTATTTATTATGTAATATTTAAATTGAAATTATTTAACAGTGATCTTTTTATAAATGACAACACAAATAATGAGGATTATATTATTTATAAAAATAAAAATATAATACACATAATGTGCTCAAAATTAAATAGTCAAAGTCTA